GACTTCAAGCTGGAACGCGTTTGAATCTCGCCATCCTGGCCTTATCATCGTAAAGGGGGGAGGAGGGAAAAAAAAGATGTTTTGAAGGAGCTTAGCACAATTCGGTGACTTTTAAAGGGCGAAAAACGGTCATAAAGTCACTCCCCCGCCCACTCCGGCGCCGTCGTAACTGTGAACGGCCACTTAAGTAAGCCGTTGTAAGTCGAGGAATGCCTATATTCAATTTTTATTTTTATTTTGCGAGTTGCCTGGAGTCCCCGAAAGTGAGCGGACTGGGGGGGCCATATCAATTCTCTATAAAATAAATTAAGAAAATTAAAAGGGCAGAAAACAAGAGCTTAAGGAAGCTGCGTTCCTCGAGGGACAACAGAAAATGACCAGAGTCAAGGAAGGAAGGAAGGAAGGAAGGAAGGAAGGAAGAAAGAGGAGGAAGAGGAGGAGGAGGAAGAAGAAGAAGAAGAAGAAGAAAGGGACTCCCAGAGGCTTCAGAAGGCCAGAAATGGGCCTGTTTCCAGCCTCCAGAGCCTGGGAGACCGTTTTTGCACTCCTGGAGGCTCAAGGAAAGCCTCCGGAGCCCAGGAAAGGCAAAATCAACCCCTCCCGCCATGGTGCAGGAGGCCGACTAGGCCACGCCCACCCAGCCACCGGGCAGAGAACCGGCCGCTAAATTTTTTGAAGCCCACCCGCGCTGATGACGCTGCCTAGTTGGGTTGTGAAACGTCTCCAAGCCGAGAAAGGCACCAAAGGCTCCCTAGAAAGGACGCCGGCTGCCCGGAAAAGGGAGAGTGGAGAGAATTGCAGAGAATTGAATTGGGAAAAGGGCGGTGGGGGGGCCGTTTCTGCTGCGGTTTAAGTCCCCGCTTGTTTCTTTAAAAAAATAAAATAGAAGGGAACTTGCAACAGAGCCGTTTCTCAGAGCTCCATTTGTCACCGAGGACTTGACGTGTCAACTTTTCCCCCTCATGCCTGAGAAGGTTGCTAAAGGTTGGCGGCAACAAGGCTTAGAATGACATTTTTTATACAGGGAGTCAAGAAAAGGAAACGGCGGAGAAGGTCAGCGATTCCCAAGGGGGATCTTAGAAGAAAAGGAGAGGGAGTTGGGACAGCTTGCTTCCAAAAGGGAAGGCGCAGAATTGCCCAGTATCTGGATGAACGTAGAATTAGGTCTGGGACGTGTCCTGCCAGAGCAGGGGGCTGGAATAGAAGACCTCCAGGGTCCCTTTTCGACTCTATTATTCATCACTCCTTTCCTTCCTAAAATGCCACTTCAGTTGGGAGTTTGGTTGGACAGCTGAGGGAAAGTTTAGTTGGACGGCTCGTTGTTTATAAGTGTGGCAGCCCAGCCACCAGCTGTGCTGGCTGAGGATGATGGGAGTTATGGCGCACACACACACACACACACATACACACACACACACACCTGGAGGGTGCCAGGTTGGTAAAGGCAGAGTTATGCGCACCCGTCAGCCGTTCACAAGATTAGGCGCGAGAAGGAGAAAGTTTGATGGGCAGGGAAAACTGATAAAAGTCACCAGGCGGGAAAAGAGATAAAAGAAAAGAAGAAAAACAAAGGAAGGAAGGAAGTCTTAAAGCAATAATATTAGGAAAAAAGGAAGGAAGGAAGGAAGGAAGGAAGGAAGGAAGGAAGGAAGGAAGGAAGGAAGGAAGGAAGGAAGGAAGGGGAAGGATAGAGAGAGAGAGAAAAGGAAGGAAGGAAGAAGGAAATCTAAAGCCAAAGCAATCATGCTAGGAAAGAAAAAAGAAAGGAAGAAGTAAGGGAGGAGGAAGGAAGGGAGGGAAAGGAAAGGAAAGAGGAAGGAAGGAAAGAAGAAAGGAAGGAAGGGGAAGGATAGAGAGAGGGAAAGAAGGAAGGAGAGAAAGAAAGAAGAAAGGAAGGAAGGAAGGGGAAGGATAGAGAGGGGGAAAGAAGGAAGGAGAGAAGGAAGAAAATCTAAAGCCCCAGCCATCATGTTAGGAAGGAAAAAAAGAAAGGAAGAAGGAAGGAAAGAGGAAGGAAGGGAGGGAAGAAAGAAAAGGTGAACAAAAGGGGTGGCTCGATGGGGAGGAGGAAGATGCCGGGGAGCGGGGGGGTGTGTGTGTGTCGGGAGCCGAGCAGAGGACCATTCATCCTGGCTAACGACTTGTTCATTATGAGTGATGACGGATAAAGACTTCTCACGCTGAGATGAAATCAAGATTTATATGCATTGTTTCCCCTCTCAACTAGTGGGAAGATCATCATCATCTAATTCCATCTCCGCGGTCAGCGATGGGCATCCGGAGAGCGGCGTTATCAAACGGCGCAGTCAGCTGGCGAGAGCCACGACGTGGGGCTGGCACATCTGGACAGGGCTTGCCAGCAGCCCAGGGTGAACGATGGCGCTTGGCTGGGGGCCAACTCCTCCTCCTCCTCCTTCCCTTCCCCCCCGCCCACCTTTCCCCTTTAAAATAAATAAATAAATCCGATTTTCATTGCTCCGTTCGATTGCTCTCTGCTCGCCATTTTTTACAGCTCTTATCATTCTTCCCCTCCCCGAATGCGGCCTTGAGACAGCTCATCCGTGTCCTTTCGGTGGGTGTTATCTCTCCTAACTTTTATTAAAACTTCAGCTTTCATCTGGAGATAGCTAATTAAATCGGGTGACAGATTATAGACTCGTTTGGGGAAGGAGCGGAAGGGGTGGTTGGTTGGGTGGGCTGCGTTGATCTCTTTCCCCGCTTTCCTAAACAGAAGCCTGGGTTCTTTCTTTCGGTGGAGTTAAAAACTAAACTGGTCCGGAGTGTGTGTGTGTGTGTGTGTGTGTGTGTGTGTGTGTGGGAGAGAGAGAGAGAGAGAGAGAGAGAGGAAAAAAAAGCAAAAAAAAAAAAGACAAAGCTTTCATTCATTTAACTGAGACAAGATGCTTATCTCTATTGAGTCTATAGATAGGTTTATATTAAAGTTCTTTGTGGTGGGCGATTCAAAAGCCGGTGCCATTTCTCACCGTAATTATTTCTACATGTCAAGACAGATTTTCTCGGCTCGGTGGGGGCTTTAAGGCTGTACAGGCCTCTCGGAGCCAAAGGACTTTCTTGACAATTAAAAGCAAGAAGATCTAAAAGGGTTTTTTTTTGTTGTTATAATTATATACTTTAGTCATTAAATATGAAACTCAGTCAACTGAACATTTTAAAATGTATCTCAAATATTATTTAATGACAATGATGGTTGATACGGGTTTGCTGTTTACTATTATTATTATTATTATTATACACAAAAAACAACAGTGTACACAGCAAACGAGATAACTATGCTGAGTTTCATATCACAAATCACTAGTCGAACACTTCCCAAGCATTGTTGTTGTTGTTGTTGTTGTTATTATTATTATTATTATTATTATTATTATTATTATTTCTCCTTTTCAAAAACAAGGAACACGTAGCCAGATGGGGCTGCAAGGACGCAGAGGGAGAAGTTTGGAAAAGGCTGAATGAGATGGTGGAAAGAAGTGTATTTACTTGACCTACAGCCACCATTCCTGCTGCTAAGCGGAGATGGTCCTTAAGTGAATTTTGCCCCATTTTATGACCTGCTAAGTAAATTGGGTGCACATGTGAGAATCAATCAGGGTAGGTTGCCTTTTGGGGGCAAAACACGGGTTTGACAAAACAGCTCCATCTCAATAGCCGGCCGCTCCGAGTGCAAAGACGGAAATACTGAAATTGCAAAACACGTTTGCCGAAACGGTTCAATCCATCCGCTTTGGAAGACTCCGAGCCCAAAGCAAAAAATCCAGATAGAATCGTCTCCAAGTTGGAGCGAAATCTTCTGGGTCTTTTTGACCTGGGACAAAATGCAGCCCTTTTTGAAGCATCCTCTTTCAAGTTGGGAACGTTGGCCGATTCAACCCTGGAAAAAGGGGAGGCTTGCGGCAAAATACCTAGGCGTCAGGGAGACATTTTTTGGGGAGGAACCGTCGGGATAAAACATTCAAGCTGTTTCCATGTTTATTCCAAAGGAACGAAGCCAGCTGGGAAGAGGAGCCGGATGGAACACTTCAAAACGAGAGAAAACGTTCCCTCTCTTTTTTTATGTGCTAGCCTAAGTCGGAATGAAAGGTAGATTTTCGACGTTGGTTTTTTCGTTATATAAGGGATGGGACGATAGGGAAGAAGCCTCCAAAAATGGCTCAGGTACCCACGATTCCTCACTCCTCCTCGCCTTATTGAATGCTTTGTGGGCATACAGACAGTTCATTTAGCGACGTCATGCTGCCAAGGGTTTGAATTCTTGATCGTGGGGATATTGCCAAGGTCATAACCAGAGGTGGGATTCAACTGGTATAAACCAGCCAGTTCGGTGAGCGTGTGCTTCATTCAAACCAGTCCTGAATCCCCACTCCTGGTCATTACCGTGAAAAGTGGTCGTCAGTTAAATTTTTCGGTGCCGTTATTAACGTTGAATGGTCCCTAAATGAACCGTTGTGAGTCAAGGAACGGCCTGTAATTTAAATAAAATAAAATAAAACCAAACAGGAAGACAATAGGTGACAGAGCTCCAGATTTACAGCCCAAATCCATTTCTCCTTCCTACTTTTTTTTTCTTTGCAATCATTCCTAGACTACTTTTTTTGGATGGGGTGGGGGGTGTTGTTTGTTTCCAAAATAAGCAAAGTGCAAAATATAAAAACTGGCGAGGAGAAGATGAGCCGGGCGGAGGCGAGATGGGCAGCCAACAGATGTAATAAATAAAAGCAATTAAAAACACCTCGAATGCCTGCTTCTTGCCCAAGGACTTAAAAGGGCTAAGCTGCCACAACGGCATTGCTAAGAGAGGTCACTGGGTGCATTGTCACAAAAAAACCCCCCCAAACAAACACAATATTTGAAAGAGATCAGAGTGGGGGGAGGGGGCGGCCATGAAACGCACTGCCCTCCCTCCCTCCAAAACAATAACAATATTATTATTATTATTCTTATAGTGCAAACAAAAGTGTAGCCAGAGGTCTCGTCCCCACCTGAGCCTCGCTGCGACCCTTTCCTTCGCTTCAGAGCCTTCTGCAAAATGTCCTTCATGGTAACCTTCAGGCTCTCCACCTGGATCAGGGAGAATCCATGCGCGGCGTTTCTGCAATGGCAGGAGAGAGAGAGAGAGGGGGGGGAGAGGAGTTGAGGGGCACAAAGTGGTTCGCGCAGGCAAGAATTGTACATGGAACAAACAAGAGTACGGAGTACAATAGAGTAGAACCAAAAATACAGGATAGGATTAGGATAGAAGAGAAGAGAATAGGAATAGGAGAGAATGGAGAACGGAAAGAAAATAAGGACTAGAATAGAATAAGGACTAGAATAGAATAAGGACTAGAACAGAACAGAATAAGGACTAGAATAGAACAGAATAAAGAATAGAATAGAATAAGGACTAG